AACATAAAGGAGCAATGCATTGTTGTCATCGTACCGTTGCGTGCGAAATTCACGGGCCACCTTGGTGATATATGCAAGGAGCTCCCCCACCTCAATGTCGTCATCCCGACTCATCCGGAGTCGAAGTTGGTGCTGCATAGAAGAACAAATGAGTGTGCAAGTGGGCGCATAATGTTGCGCATTGTGGTCACGGTAAGCGGCCCGTGAAAGGGAGAGGAAACCATGCAAATCCCCGGGCAACAACAGGTCCAAGACCTCTATGTTGAACTCACGTGCTGAATCCCTTGAAGAACCACTTGAAGACGATAACACGTCGCCACTACAGAACGGAGAAGAAATTGCGCACACACCTTGTCCTTGAGCATGAAAACCCAGCGATGGAATGATCCGGTGTCGGTGTGAATACCCTTACAAGGGTATCCGCCCTGGTCTTTGCAAGTGATAGAAAGATAAATTTGATTCAAAAATTAAGTATGTCATGTGAGATGCGGCCCGTTTTTGTTTTTGACTAACTATGTATTAAGGTGAAAAGGTAGGGAGTGTGTGAACGTGCAACTTTGAAAGCGCGTGTGATCTCTTTTTCTTGTTGATAATTCTACGAAGGTCAGGGTCCCCCTCACGAAGTGAATAAGTGTAGAAATCTTATCAGACGTCAGAAGGTTCGCCACGTAGGCGCGTGGAGAGGTGTGTCACCCACTGGTCAGGTGGGACGACCATGAGTTGGAGCGTGCGGGTGGTAGACTGCAGCCACCGAGATATGCGTGTCCCTGGACCGTCATACGAGGCAATGTCCGTCAAGCGGACAAGTGGTGCGCCACCGTTATGGCGGCAAGGAGATCGAGGAGCAGAGGTTTGTGCTTTGGCCGAGTAAGGTCGCGCAGGTCCTGGAGAAGGGGGCGCAACTGACTGTATGTCCGGGCTGCATAGTGGAGCGGCGAGGGGAACAGCGGCCGGCTGTGCGGGAGCTGCGAAAGAAGAGGTCGTAGCAACCGATGGAGTAGGAAGGAGATAGAATGGGGGAGGAGGGGGTGCAGGGTGAGGGAAGCGAGCCTGCATGGATGGAAGAGTAGAGGAAGGAGGTGCACCCGAGGGCGCGACCACCTGTGAGGGTAGGGATGGTTGAAGGCGTAAGAGGGCGAGGTCAGCCCGGGTCTGAGCAAGCTCGGCCTCAAGACATCGGATGTAGGTCGAGCGAGGAGTTGTAGGAGTAGACGCACGAGCGATGCGGGGCATCCCATAAGGGGGAGAGCCTGGCGGCGCTGCGGTCGTGCGAAGGGGAGGGAGAAGCGGGGCACCCGGAAAAGTTGAGACCGCGGCAGAGGGTTGTGGTCCCGTGGCTGTAGTGACCGAAGTATGGGCGGGTGCGGCCGTAGAGTGAGGAGAGGTCTTGCCCGTGGTGGACGTCGTGCTAGGAGCGTGGACAGTCACCAGGATGGTCAGGTTGGGGGCAGCTGAGGAGGAAGCTCCGTCGTGACGACCACGTCGGAGGACTTGGGACCCGGACTGGGAGCCAGAAGAAGAGAGAGGGTTAGGAGAGGAAGGACAAGGAACGTCCTGGACTTGCTGCATGCCAGCGGCAAGAGTCAACACCTGCGCCTGTAAGGGCGCAAGGGTCGCCAGTTGCGCTTGGATGGGCTCGAGGAAGGAGGTGAGGAGGGCGTGTAGATCCCTTTGGGGCTGATGGCCCTGGTCCACCGGCACGGGTGTGGAGCCAGATGTTGAGGTCGTCGCTTCGTCGGCGACTTGTGACACGCCGTCGACCATGGGAAGGTGACGGGCCGGATTGGAGGGTTTCGAAGGAGGTCCACGTGAGCGGAGGGCGTAGGGGGGGTTTGTGGTAGAAAGCGACGGGAGGCGCTAGCGAGTCGAGCGCGGGTGCCGACAAAGGGGAAGGGGTGGTTCGGGTCCAGGGTGCCCGAATGGGAAGGGCAAGTAGGGAGAAGGGGTGATGGGAGAGGGAAGAAAGATAAAAGGGCGAGGAAATTTGGAAAATTCCGGCAGCACTTCACCTCCGTTGAGGAGCACGAATGTGCCGCAAAAAATAAAAATCGAATAAGAACCAAGAAAACTAAGTAAAAGAGTAGAAAAATCTACGAACGCATCAAAAATTTTCGGTGGCACTTCGTTTTTGTAGAGGAGCAAGAGTGTATTGTTGATAAAAAGAGAGAAGAGCAATACTATGTACACCAAGATGAGCAAGGAGAGAAATAGCATCTGAAAGAGAGCAAGAAATGAACTAACTACACCAACGAAGAGCAAGGGGGAAAGACTTGTGAGACTAGTTCACACACGAGCAAGGTCTACCTAACTAATGCACAAGATTGTGTGAAGAGTAGAGGGGAAAGGGATAAAGGAAGAAAGAAACAAAATAGAGAGGTTGGGGGAAAGGAGGAAAGGGGATGGTGGAGAGAGATCAGGAAGCAAAGAGAAAAGAGGACGAAACGAAAAGAAAATAAATGAATAAAATAGAGTAAAATAGTGGATGGTGGGAGAAGAGAAGATGAAGAGGGAAGGTAAAGAAGAGATGGCGAGAGAAGAGAAGTAGAGAAGAAGTAAGGTAGAGAAAGGGAAGAAAGGAAAGTGATAAAGTATGTGGGGGACCGGAGTTGGGAGAGGAAGAGTGATGGAAGAGAAGGCGGGGTGGGGAAAGTAGAAAGAGGAGGGAAAGAGGCAGTGGAAGGGGGGGCCTTGGAGTTGACGAAGACGCCAATCTGACCTCGAGGGTGTCTCCTTCCCACGTTTCGACCCAGATTTTATCCTTCATGTTAACTCGTGCTTCCGGAGCAATATCGAACTTGAGATTGATTAACGTTGGTTTGAGACGATCCGGCTCCGAAGGGTGCGTGAACAAGACAGGGCCAATAGCCTTCCTGATGTGTGTTTCCAAATAAAACATTGCATCAAGAGGGACTTGCACCGCGATAACCCAAAAGACAGACTCATCCTCTGCTCTTCTCTGCTCTCGAAGCTGAGCCTTAGTAAGCCATGGCTTGAAATCCAACACATATCGAGACGACCCTAGCGTGATGTTATCCGTGCCCTTCTCAACCATCCATAGTGCTAGCGCACTACTTTTGGCAACGTACGACACAACGTTTGGGCTCTCTACCTTAATACGCCCGCGTTTGAAGGTGGAAGGGTCAAAACTACCATCCTGGACCCGTTCATCTTCGTACACACGGATAATATCGTCTTTCACCTTTTTGGGGAGAAAGCGAGCGGCCTCTCGAAAAATCACCGTTACCGTATGTTCCTTTAGCCACGTTATTTTAGTTTGGTCAATCCGCGGGTTGACTTTGAAAAAGACTTCCCGACCCTCTACTCTCATCTCCCCTGGATCTATAGCAGCGGAGAGAATGCCTTCCTCATAACATAACCTTGCTAGTTCCCTAATTTCTCCGTCCATCTGTGCTTCCAGCCCCGCCGGAGGCAACCGATTGGTCTCCATTCCAGCTCTTGCTCTAATTGCCTGACAGCGGTGCTCTTCTTCGCTTGGTGTTAACTCGTTCTCGTGACATACACTCTTCTTATAGCAGCTGCATGTACTCGAACTCTGTCTGGGGCGTCGCGGTATGTCGCTGAGGAACCGTGGGCTACGTTGAGTATGCCAACATGGCCGTCCAATCGTCAAAGCGATGGCGATGGTGTCCTCACCTACGGATTCACTATCTCGGTGGTAGTGTCTTCCGCCGACCTAGCCTCCCGTTACCGGTAAGCAACCATGCGGTCCGAGCGCTACGTAGCGCCGGCGGGCGCGGTCCGGTATCCCCCTGGGCTGGTTTTCTATTCTTTTTGGTTCGTTGTTGGTTGGAATCTTAGTTGCTAGTTTTCCTTTTTTCTTCTTTCCTCTTTTTTTGTTTTTTTTTTCTTTTTTTTGGGATTGCGAGGCTTTTATGGCCTGTGGCGGTTTTTTTTTATTTCAATAGGGATTGGATAAGTCAGAACAGCTGTTGAGATTTGGCCATTTCTGTTCTAGACGAATTCCAATGCCCTCAGCCAAGCCTGGGTAATGGCCCCAGTGACACTTTTCCGGGTTGTTTGTGGAGGATTCCCGGCCTCCTTGTTGATTGGTAATGCAAAAGAGCAGTCTTAAAAAAAAAAAAAAAAAAAAAAAAACACGAAGACGAATCTCGACTTTCCTGTTTATCATGTGACTCCCCGTCAGAGGCGGGGAGCAATTAGCAATTCATTGTCTGCCAGAGTCTTTTTTTATTTCCCAGTACTTCTGTTTTGTGAGTAGAAACAGCACCCTTGTTTCTTTTCTGCGGTATCACAAAGGGCAGTACTGGTACCGCCCTATTTTTCGAATTTTTTTCCATGTGTTGGTACCTGCTGCCTCCAGCCTCGGCAAATTGTGGCACGCAGGGCATGTTTAGGCTCAGCATCAATAGCTGGGCGAGGTACTGGTGGTTTAATCTCTCTCTCTCTCTCTCTCTCTCTCTCTCTCTCTCTCTCTCTCTCTCTCTCTCTCTCTGTGTGTGTGTGTGTGTGTGTGTGTGTGTGTGTG